TTATAGAGAGCCCGGTGGAAGACTTGCCTGAAGTATCTACAGTGACGGGCCAACCCATTATTGCATACCTAAAAGAACTTGCATCGAGTTTTGAGTTGATGCCTAACGACCCCCCTCTCTTCTCGTTCTCCGCCTCCCTTGAGTGTCCCCCATGGAACTCCGGGTTAATCCCGAGCCTCTCTCGCCGGAATAGCCGGTCGAAGATGGCAAAGGAGAGACGCCGGCATCTCTGTACATACTAGTTGTAGGCTTTGGTTTAGGTCTCGGCTTGATGCTGGTAGTTGGCGCTGTGCCGGGAGAGAATCTACAGATCTCTCTGGCCAGATCTGTAGCATCCCAGTGCTCTTCCTCCTTGCGGTGGGGATCTCTTCGTTTGCAATAAGGCTGGCTTCTTCTGCGAATCTGGTGCTGGTGCCCGTGTCCTACAAACTGTGTTATCTGGTCTTGGTGATCTGGAGGACGCTTGTCTGTAGCTCGTGCGTCGGCTGGTGCTGGATCTGGAGGCGGGAGTATGGAAGCTGCTCCCGGGAGCGAAATCATGGAGGCTCTTTGTTGGCTGCCATCTAAGATGGTCGAAGGGTGACCGTTCCCTCCCTCTTCTTTGGCATCGGTTCTCTTCGGTCGGCGTTTGCAGGTGAACATCAACCTTCTGGCTTCTATGCCATTGTGGAGGCCCCTTTGCTTCAGTGCAGTTGGCTCCCGGCACCTCGCCCCAAGTGGTGTTGTCCCCGGCGGCGTTGTGCTTGACTGCACTGAGGTGTGCAGAAGCGGTGGCGATGGAGCTGGACTCGATGGCGTTTTCTTCATATCTTTCAGGGCCCTTAGTGCAAAAAGCCAGGACATGGTTGTAATTTCTTTCTCTTTGATGGCTTTCTGTGTAATTTTGTCGCTGTTTCATGAAAGCTTCTAGGTCCCTCTGGGACCGCCCCTGGTTAAAAAAAAGAGTTCTAAGTTGATTTTTTCTCGGAGTTGTAGACATACCCCACATGGATGTTGTCAAATAGTTTTAGATTTTTTTCGAAATGTCTAAATATGATCTTTTTAGGGTTGATCTTACGATCTCACCTAAATATGAGATCTCATACAAGTCCCCCCCTCCCTCTCTCGTAGAGAGCCTGATGGAAGACTCGCCAAAGTAGATAAATAGGGGCAGCGGGAATCGACCATAGGATGGATCAGTTGTAGTGCACTGATGCTAGCCACTGTGGCATCGTCAGGTTCGTGTTAACCTAGTATGTTGCGACGTAGTTGAAGAAAAAGAGTTGGTCTTCCATGGATTTTTGGTTTTTGTTTTGTTTTGTTTTCTCGCCATTTTGCTTTGTTTATTTATCTGTTTTTACTACTTTTTCTTTTCTTTTCTTTCCTTTTTCATTGTTTTTCTTAGGGTTTCTGTGTTCCTTTTTCGTTTTTACTAGCTTTTTTTCCTTTTTTCTTCATTTTCTTCGGTTTTTTGTTTCTTTTCACGTTTTTCATTGGTTTTATTTTGTTTTCTCTTGGGTTTTCATTTTTTATACTTATGTGTGTGTGTGTGTGTGCGTGTGTGTATCTAATACATGTTTAATAATTTTCAAAAAAGATTAAAATTTATTGAATACATGGTCGACATTTTTTTTACACATTTAACATTTTTTTAAATGCTTGATTAACATTTTTCAAATACCAGATTAATATTTTTTGAATACACGATCACCATTTTCTATACATATTTAATTTTTTTAAATTATTGATTCAAAAATTTCAAATACAAGTTTAAATTTTGTTTAATACATTGCCAACCATTTATTTATACACATTTAACATTTTTTCAAATGCTTGATTAGCATTTAGGCGAGTCTTCTTCCATCGGACTCGCTTGAAGCGGAGGTATAGCCGCGCCCGCGGAAATGCGGGCGAAGATAAACTTAAGTGGGCCGCGTGCCCATCCATAATCGGGTCTCCTTTGTACAGCCTTCCAGTCACACTCCGTCGGATGGCTCCATTGCACATCAGGAGGAGGAACGAAGTTGTCTCAAAAAAAAAAGGAGGAGGAACGGAAGAGGAGAGGATTCCTCAACCCAGTAGCCACCGGCCGATGGCGACGACGGCCACGGGGTACGGCTGCTCGGCGGCGCTGTCGTTCCCGGGGAGTGGGAGCCCCTTCGCTGATCGCTCGCCCCTGTCCCGCGCTTACCTCACCTCCTCCAATCCCAAGCTCAGGACTCCCGCTCCTAGGTACGCTCCGGACTAGCTTCTCCTTGTGTCGGATTCTGCTCAGCAATGCCTAAGCGGTTGTGTTGCTCTCCTTGCAGCCTGCGGGTTTCATATCTTCGTAGGCGACTGTATGTCTGTGCGTGCTCCGGCGACGTTGATCATTACGCCTCGGCGGCATCACCAGCGGTGAGATGAACAGGTTTTCGTGCTGCCTGCGTGGTTAATGAAAATTGGACTAGTTAACGATGGTTAGCAATTCTGCAATTGTGGATTTGACAGCAATATGAACTATAGTTTGCTGCTTCAAATATCTAGTACTCCCTCGGTTCAATATAAGTCTTTTAGGCATTTTAAATGGACTACAACATACGGATGTATGTAGACATATTTTTAAGTTTAGATTCATTCATTTTGCTCCGTATGTAGTCATTTGTTGGAATGTCTAGAAAGACTTATATTTGGGAACGGAGGGATTACTAGTTAACTAATTACTACTCCCTCCGTTCCAAAATAGATAACTCAACTTTGTACTAACCTAAATACAAAATATAAATAGTTAATGGATTTTATAGGAAAAAGATCCATTTTAACGAATCACACGTAGAGATAAAGTTGGGTCATCTATTTTGGAACGGAAGGAGTAGGACTTTGGACCTGAAATACAGTACCACATAACACAGGGATATATAACATCGTCCATGTGTCTGGTCACAAGAGGCAGCAGTGTACAATACCTTGCAAACCACTACTCTGAATGATGCACGATGTTCATAATGGCCGTCGTTATCAACATTAAGCTTGTCAGGTTATTAGAACGAGGCATGGTTTGCCAGCAGTTCCTTTTATGCACCGGTTGAGGTCACTGGTTGAATACGCTTGTGCAATCCTATTCCAGTTCAAATAGAAAGCTAAACATATCATAGATGATGTACTTTTTCCATTCTTTCAGTTTTGTACTTTTAGGCATTTTTAAATGGCGGATTATGCCAGCCCCAACATAATACTCATGCAGCAATGTTCCTTTCAAAAGTTTGCACAAACCATAGCTGATGAATTGGGTAGACCGAAAGCTTAATGATGTAAATATTCATCCATCATATAACATTAAATTGTATTGTATGAAAACACACTTGTTGTCACACTGGTGGGAATAAGTGAACAGAAATAACTCTTGTTCTCGATGATGGTGAGTCATTTTGAAATGGTGATACTTTTGATTGAATATTATTTCTGTATTTTTTTACACCATTTACCTATTATCGCTGAAATTGAAGCATCATACTGCGGATTAACCGGTTGACTAGAATAGCTTTAAAACAACATACGTTTCTTATGTCATATTGCAGGAAGCTAGTTTTGATATAAAGCTGCCTAGAAGAAGCTTGCTTGTTCAGTTTACATGTAATAAATGTGATGCAAGGACAAAACGTTTGATAAACAGGGTGGCCTATGAAAGAGGAACAGTTTTTCTTCAGGTAAATTGTTCAGTGTGTTTATATTTACTTAATTTGTACAGCCAGCAGCTTTGCTTATATTAGTACGGACCTTATCTGCCTACCACTCTCTTTTTTTATATTAAAACAAGACCATGTCTGTGCTCATTTATTTTGTGAGATATACTGCTTATTATTTTCTAACATGCACTGCACACACAGTGCGCAGGGTGCCAGGTGTATCACAAGTTTGTTGACAATCTTGGTCTAATTGTCGAGTATGACCTACGAGAAGAAAATGGGGTGAACACTTGTACTGAAGACTGATTTGGAATGTGTTATTAGAAGCCAGACATGCTAAGTTTCCTCTAAAAACATTAGGTTTGAGTCTTGACAGATTATTTGAACCTTGTAGACTGCTTATATTGAACAGTATTTCTGCATTGAAATAGCTACCAATACTCATTTCATAACTGGGTTTATATGCACTCAAATAGTATAACTGTGCACAATACCAGATTATCTTATTGTTACCAAAATTGATCTCTTATTATAGCAAAATGATACATTGTTGCTCGAAGTTTCTGGCACTAATTGTATGATATTCGCACTAAATACACATCATTCTTTGCTCCCATCTTGCTGATCTTGATTGTCTGGAACATCACTTTGTGCCATCATCTCTTTCTCTTGTTCTTCCTCCTTCGCTACCTGGTCCACATTTTCCGGTTTGCCAGCACCATCTTTCTTTCTCTTGAGGAACTGGATAAGACCTTTGAGTGCGACGTCCGTCTCTTCATTCCTCATGAGCACCTCTGCGACCTCTGCTGGAGTCACCATGACCTCCTTGATCATTTCTTCGATCTCCGGGTATGTGACATGGTGATCTTAGAGTGGTAGTTGGAGGCCAAGATTCGAAACGACTCTGGGCAGCAGTACCCCATGTGAATGTGCATGTCCATCCTGCCAGGGCGCAGAAGCGCAGGATCGAGCCTCTCTTTGTAGTTTGTTGTGAAGATAATTATCCTCTCCTCCCCACTTGTGGACCAAAGCCCATCAACGAAGTTGAGTAGCCCGGATAGTGTCACCTGTTGGAGATAGCACATAGGACATCAGAATGGAAAGAAAACTAAGGAATTAAGCAATGCAAGGGAAATATCATTCCAAGTATCTATCTAACCTTGTCCTCTGAAGGGTTGGATTTGGTGCCCTCCTGGCCTTCCTCCCGCTGTTGCAGCTCGACAGTGCAGTCGATGTCCTCAATGACAAGAATTGACCGGTTGGTCATCCCGATGAGCAACCTCCGAAGTGTTGAGTTCCAGTTGACCTCAGTGAGCTCAAGATCATATACATCAAATTTGAGGTAATTGGCCATTGCTGCAATCATGCTTGACTTGCCAGTCCCAGGTGGGCCATACAGCAGGTACCCTCGTTTCCATGCCTTGCCGATCTTCTTGTAGTATTCCTTTCTCTTGACAAACCTCTCGAGATCATCCATGACTGACTGCTTGAGCTTGTGATCCATGGCAAGCGTGCTGAAGGTTGATGGGTGGTGGAGATCAATGGCAAACCACGACTCACCTTCGTTCATGTAGATCTTGAGCGTCCTGTTCTGCTCTTTGATTTTCTTGGCCACGGCGAGGATGTGAGGGAGGTAGGAGGTAAGTGCTTTGTCCTTGTGCTTCCTGTGGAAGCTCATCTCGAAGGACCGGACCTCAAGCTTGAAATTGCCGCTGCCGCCACGGCCATTGCCGTTGCTGCTGCTGGCGCTGGAGTTGTCCCGGCAGACAAGGCGCCACTTGAATTCGGTGCCCTCATGGACATCGGCCATCTCTTCGCCCTCCTCCATGCTGAACATCATGCTCTTGGTCTCGTCGACGCGGCTGACCCGGAGGCGCTGCATGTCGGTGTTGATCCGCGTCGCCAGGTACGCCCGCGCGGCGTCGTAGAGCTGGTTGTTGGCCCACCCCTCGGTCTCCGCTATGATGATGGTGTGCTGGGAGGACATGTGCGAGCGAAGGTAGCCCATGCCGGAGAAGAGCAGGTCACGCACCTCGTACGGCACCAGCTCGTTGACGACGCCGCGCACCAGCATCGCGGACGCCGCGAGGGAGGCCGCCGTGGTGACGGCCTTCTTGTACGACTCCATGGCCTTGTCGTAGGAGGCCATGGCCGGCGGCGGGCTACGGGCAAAGTCACTACTCTGCTTTCGCCTCTCACTTTCCTTCAAGACCAAGTAGTGTTGGGAGATTTGAACCTTCCAAGCAGTGATCGTGCTGGTCGGTGTTGAATGGGGGCGTTTAGCTGGCGCGAGGTTTTATAGCTGGTTTGGTTTGCGTCAAAGTGGTTGGGTGACGGGCGAGTCAGTCAAGCTAAATGATACTGTATTGGTCTGAGTGGTGCGTTGTCCAGAAAGGAGGCCTTGGCCAAAGTAGAAAAATGGCATCACACTACTTGGTGTTTTTTTTTTCTAATGGCACGGCCATGTTCCTTGGGTGGCCGTGCAAAACAAACGCTAACAAATGGCCTCAAAGCCGAACCGACTAACTGCTGGACCCCCACTTGAGTTTGAGGAGATGGTTGTCTCTTTATACCTGCTGTTGAGTAGGAGTACTAGTACTAGTATTCCTGTTGATACTCGAATGCGTACTCGATAAACCAATGATGTAGTATGTGCTTGAGAATCATGAGCATATTTGTTTCAGTTTGTCTAATTCACATCTAAATGTTTTTTAAGGCTGGTCACAATGGGCAAGAACATAAGTTAGTAACTTCACACTTCCCTAGACTATGTTACTACCTCCATAGTGGGTAGGAACATTTATGTAGTGTCATGCAAGGATGTATTTATTAGGTTATAGACTCATTGTTTCTTGGAGTGTGTGATGTTCCGGTAACTTAACTAGTTACCACAAGTACCTCTCTTCATTAAATACGTGCCACATAAGCAAAGTTGTATTGGAGTGTGTGATGTTACTTCTAAGTTCCTCCCCATTGTGACCAGCCTAAGGATGTTTTCCAAGGCCCCCGGTAGTGAAAGCACGTGCTTTGGTTTTGGTGCTGTCAGGCGCTGTTAAAGAATGTATACACAAACGGGTGAATTTCCTGTTCGAATTTGCTTTTTATTATTGGTCACTCTGTTCAAATTTGTTGAAGTTGCACCACACCAGGAATACGTATGCACGATTAACATGCTGCCTGATAGACAGAGATGGGATGGTTGCGGGAAAACCCTTGCAAATGCACACGCATAATGACGTTTTTTATGCTTTTTTTGGAGCCTTGTGCTGTTGTGCAGGGTAAAGCAAGTTTACAACTGTCTGCATAGACTTGACGGCCAAGTTTGCGTGATCAATAGTCTGCCACTTGTAGCTGTCGGCAGTTGGCTGCGAGTTTCCATAGGAAATTTCTGCAGCTCTCACAACCGTCTACTACGTGTTTCCTTTTGGTCTCATGGCCCCGTCACGTTTCCATGCCCCGTGTATGCGAGAGTCCGGCTGCTGCTGACTAACAACGGTTGACGCCCGAGTAGCATTGATTTAGGTATCGTGCAGGGGAAGGAAGGGATTTTTCATTTCATTTTCGTGTCTGTTGCCACCCTCCAAAAAAGAAAAAGAAAAGAAAGAAAGAGCGTGTGTTGCCACTTGCCAAAGTTTCCATCCATTGGGGGACGCAAGTAGATCGATGCATTCGGTCACCATGACATGACAGTCTCAAGGGTGAAATGAGGGAGTCCATCAAAATAATTCGACAAGCTGTAGAAAAAATTGCCGGGTTAGCTTATGAACCACTTTTCACACAAATTTTGTGATTTGGAAGCGAATGAAGTAGGCTGGGCCAGTCGATCGGCTGCATCCTGCATGCCCTGCGCACTCCATTCTGCAATCTGCATCACATAATTCTCTTTTTTTTTAACATAGATCCACGCGCACAGCACTCCTATTATACTCCCTCCGTTCCTAAATATTTATGTTTCTAGAGATTTCAATAAATGACTACATATGAAACAAAATGAGTGAATCTACATTTTAAAATATGCCTATATACATCCATACGTGGTGGTCCATTTGAAATCTCTAAAAAGACAAATATTTAGAAACGGGGGAGTATATGATTATTATCACAGAAGAATAGGCTTGACAGCCCCGGATTTTTCATTACTAATAATATGGTTATAAGCAACATGGGTCCACTACTTGACAACACCTGATGATTTCGGTCGACTACTAAGATATCTATGACGATTTCGTCAATCTCAAGATGTTGTACCAGTTGATTATCTCGAAGATGCTCATTGGGGTCGGATATGCATGCGTTCATAGGTGTGTATGTTCATGTATGTGAGCATCTACCGTCTATACCTTGTGAAAAGAAGCTTTCAGTAATAATATGGTTACAAGTATGAGGAAGGATGGATGGGGTTGCTGGTCAGCGTAAAAAGCACTTTGATCGCGTGCATCTAATTTTCTGATTAAACTGGAGGGACCAGGGGTACTACTTTTGGTCGAGTCGAATAGGCGGTGTAGAACGATGAGTCATTGAGACTTGACGTGTCCTCGGTGCCGTGGTTTGGTTGGGTTGGGAGAGGGAAGCGAGAGATCGGGCGGGGAGCGAAAACATCAGTTCAGTTAGGCACGGCGTACGACTGGAAGGGGGAACGTGCTTGGAGGAACTGGCACTTTTCACTTGCCACAGAAATGGTATCTGACGTGCAGTTTGCGCTAGTGCTCCAAGCAGGCAACCTATCGTGCGGAGCTTTGCCCAAACAGGTTGTTCCATCCCATCCAATCGATCGCTGAAAGCGAAGGACCTAGCCCGAGGCGCGGTGCTCTCCACGTACGTCCGCCGCTCTCGGAGTCGGAGTGGATGCGTCCAACCAGCCAACCGCGTACCGCTGGATCGCGCCAGCCGTTCTTTACCTGCTTTGTTGTTTTTCTTTTGAGAAACGCTTTGTATTTCTTTCTGCTGGGAAGAAACGCTTTTGTTTTCGGTTTGTTGGTACAACGGAAAGCTTCTTCCACTCCCCGATATACCAAAAGAAAGAAGCATTGATCGGAATGGAGGCTGTCACGGGGATTTCGGGGTAGCGCAAGAGGATGATTTAGGTATGGGATTTACACGAGAATATTATACACAGGGTTGGGCTCTTTATCGAAGAGGCAAGACCCTATTCATGTTCTGTGTTTATCAGACCTTTTTTTTTACAAAAATAGAAACTCTCATTCATTAATCAGGGTTGTCGCATTCAAGGTTACACAAAGGGGTAATTTCCACGGGTGCATGGCAGAGCCAAACGGCTGTGCGTGGCGCCCTACCCATCTGAGGAA